AACTACCACAGGCCTGCACATTTGAATTAGTTTATATGTCTTCTAAATTCTAAATTTCTTTTCATCAAAAACTTCTTTCTGTACCTTCTTTTTTTCCCCCAATTCATTTAATGAACAAACCAAGTTACTTGAACTATCATCATTCCCGAGTCTCTATTGGTTTGTTTTATATCCTCAAGGTAGGCATCTCTCCTCAAAGTGATAGGTGAATTCATAGGTTCAAACAGTTTAGGTTGGTAATTCTTTCCTCAGGAAGCACATAATATTTGATTATATTTCTTTTTGTGATATTAACATCTATGCCTCTATCCTTTTTTCATTGAGTTTGTAGAGTGGTGGCATTCTGTTTGTTTGCTTGGTTTTACCATTTACTGGCTTGCTCCCAAATTCATATTCAGCTACAATTGTTATATAGACTAGGGCTACTTGCCTAGAAATGGCATAATCCACTGTGGGCTAGGCCACTTCATTTATTAACTAGAATGATTTTTTTTTAAGATTTATTTATTTTTATTTTATGTGATTAAATATTTCACATGCATATATGTATGTGCAACATGTGTATGCCTGGTACCCTTAGAGGCCAGAAGAAAGGGAATCAGATTCCCTGGAAATGGACTTAGAGATAGCTATGAGCCACTGTGTGGGTTCTGGGAATCAAACCCAGGCCCTCTGGAAATGTAGATAGTGCTCTTAACTACTCTACCATTTCTCCAGCTCCTAGAATGATTCTTTAAAGGTTAATATTTGATTCTTTCCCTTAATTTACAAGTGCTGTTATATTATTTATTGTGTTTGACAGTACTGCCATGGAATCCAATGCCTCACACATTCTGCACAAGTGCTCTGTCACTGAGATCCCCAGCCCAAATTTTCAGTGTCCGTTCACTTGTCAGTGCCAGCAACTGACTTTTATTCATTTTTGATACAATTGAAAGATTTCTAATCTAGCCGGTTCTAGTGGTGCACAACTTTAATCCCAGGACTCTGGAGGCAGTGGCAGGTGGATCTCTGTGAGTTCGAGACCAGCCTGGTCTACAAGAGCTAGTTTACCGGATAGGCTCCAAAGCCACTGAGAAACCGTGTCGGGGGTTGGGGGGGGAAGTGTATGTAAGCGTATTTGATGTGTTTCAACCCATTTCTGTTTACGTTTCTTAATGACGCCCAGAACTGTCCTGTGGTTTGGCCTGTGGGAACCTCATACTCGGTCCTAAGTCCTTTTCTCAGGACCATAATAACTTTGGTAACTTCCCTGCTATCAAAATATTGCTAAGCCTAGCTTTGTCTTTTATCCCCCAGATTTGGAAACAATAATTGCTCCAATAATTCTTGGTTCTGTTTATTGAGAAATTATTTTAGGGGCTGGAGAGTTGGCTCAGAGGGTAAGATCACTGGCTGCTCTTCCACAGGTCCTGAGTTCAATTCCCAGAAACTACATGGTGGCTCACAACCATCTGTAATGACATCTGGTGCCCTCTTCTGGCCTGTAGGTATACATGCAAGCAAAATACTGTATACATAATAAATAAAATTAAAAAAAGAAATTATTTTAGATGATACTCTCTGAGTAGTCAGGGTGGGTTACTGTTGGTTTGTTTCTCTAAATTATCAGAGCTAGGAAAATATACTTATGTTGTAATGTGATTTCAACACTTTTTTTCTTTCTTTTTTTTTTTTTTTTTTTTTTTTTTTTTTTTAGTTTTTCGAGACAGGTTTTCTCTGTGTAGCTTTGGAGCCCATCCTGGCATTCAATCTGGAGACCTGGCTGGCCTCGAACTCACAGGGATCCGCCTGCCTCTGCCTCCCAAGTGCAGGGATTGAAGGCATGCACCACCAACATAGGTATACATGCAAGCAAAATACTGTATACATAATAAATAAAATTAAAAAAAGAAATTATTTTAGATGATACTCTCTGAGTAGTCAGGGTGGGTTACTGTTGGTTTGTTTCTCTAAATTATCAGAGCTAGGAAAATATACTTATGTTGTAATGTGATTTCAACACTTTTTTTCTTTCTTTTTTTTTTTTTTTTTTTTTTTTGTTTTTTTGGAAAAGGTTTTTTCTTTTTAGTTTTGGGGCCTTTTCCCCCCCCGCCTCAGAAAACCCACTTCTCCCCCAACAACCAGAAAACCCCCCCCTCCTCCCCCCCCGTTCAGGGATCCGCCTGCCTCTGCCTCCCAAGTGCAGGGATTGAAGGCATGCACCACCAACGCCTGACAGTGAAGAAATTTTTGTTTGTTTTTCGTTTGGCACAACAGGGTTTATCTGTGTTATAGTCTTGGCCATCCTGGAACTCGCTCTGTAGACCAGGCTGGCCTCGAACTCCGAGATCCACCTGCCTCTGCCTCCCGAGTGCTGGGATTAAAAGCATGCACCACCACCACACTTTTTTTACTTTCTTTATCTACCCTTTTCTCCTTTCTTGTTTAACAAGAGTACATGTCTCTAGGACAGCTGCCATGAATGACTAAGAATATTAAAAGTACTCTTCTGTTTTATCTCACATTGCATGTCAGTTTCAAAATGACAGCATTGACATCACATACACAGTATGGTTATGAAGTGTTCATAGCTTCACAGAGTTCTCTTTGAATTTCGATATAACTACAAAACATAATTAATACTGTCATAATCCCTCCAAATAATTGCTGAGTGGGTAATGTCTTCAGCTTGATACAGGCATGTTAATTTGTTTTACGATAGTCAGTTTTATGTTTTAAATCTATAAAAGTAGAAATGGCTCAGTGGGTAAGAGCACTGACTACTCTTCCAGGTGACCCAGATTCAATTCCTATCCTAGCATCTGTACATCAGCTCACAGTTGTCTATAATTCCAGCTCCTGGGGAACTGACACCCTCATGCAGACACAATAACAATGCACAGGAAAAATAAAAAAAAAAAGTAAATATGTAGACAGTTTCCTGTTCTATCTGGTCCCGCAGCCATTTAGACCCAAATAAACACAAAGACTTATTAACTATAAGCTGTTTCCCTGATGGTTCAGGCTTCTTATTGGCTAGCTCTCTCTTAATTGTTAACCCATAACTATTAACCCATATGGCCTTATCTTACTAGAGAATGCCTCGTGCGTCCTATCTTTGTAGCTACATGGCATCTCCTGGCAGCTCCTCTCTGCCTCCTCTCCCCAGAATTCTCCTCATCTGGTAACCCCGCCTATACTTCCTTCCTGGCTACTGGCCAACCAGTGTTTTATTCATCAATCAATAAGAGAAATATATATACAGAAGAACGTCCCCTATCATAAATAAATCATTTAAAATAAGATGAAAGGTTTATTTGATGGAATAAACCTCCATCCTTTCATGAAAACATTAAAGATTTACCATATTCTTCCTTAAAATAAAGTTAAACTAACAGTATAATTTTAAATACATATTTATAATTCTACTTTTCTTTTTTTGTTTTTGTCTGTTTGTATTTTTTTCAAGACAGGGTTTCTATGTATAACAGCTCTGGCTGTCTTGGAACTTGTTTTGTAGACCAGGCTGGCCTTGAACTCACAGAGATCTGCCTATCTTATCCCTTTTTTTTTTTTTTTATAAATGTTACACATACTTTTTTTTTCTTTAAACATTTATTTATTTATTTATCATGTGTACAGTGTGTGCCAGAAGAGGACACCAGATCACATTACAGATGGTTGTGACCCACCATGTGGTTGTTGGGAATTAAACTCAGAACCTCTGGAAGAACAGTCAGTGCTCTTAACCCCTGAGCTATCTCTCCAGCCCCGTTACACATACTTTTTATTCCTCACCTTTTAATATTTTTTTGTGTGACACACAGAGAGAGACAAAAGCAGAGAGAGTAAATTTGCAAGTATGTGTGTTGAGGTCAGAGGAGGATATTGGGTGTCCTTCTTTGTCACTCTCTATTTGATTCTCAGGAGTAAGGGTCTCACTCTACCTGAAGTTCAGCTGGGAGCCAGCAAATCATAATGATCTCCTGTATCTGCCCTGACACACCAATAAATGCCCAGCTTTTCACATGGGTAATGGAGATATGAATCCAAATCCTCATTTTTGTTCACATATTCTTACCTGCTGAGGCATCTCCCCCCTCCCTCCTTGCCTTTTGTTGTTGGTGGTGGTGGTTTGCATCTTTATTTTGCCCTGTATTCTTGAAACAAGCTGGTCTGGTATTCATTATGTAGCCCATACTCTCCTCAAACTTACAGAACTTTTGCTTCAGTCTTCCAAGGGTTAGTATATGTATGAACCAATTTGCCTGACCTACCTTGCTTGTTTTCACGTAAGGAAATATCCTGACAGGTAGCATGATGCACATGCCTTTAACCCCAGCACTCAGTCAGGGAAAGAAGGATCTCTGTGAGTTTAAGGTCAGCCTTCTCTACACAGCAAATTGATGGCAACTTAAATGGTTTCTATTTTTTTTATTTTAAAAGATTGAATATATATTTTCAGTTACTTTTCTTGTTTATCTTTTGAATTAGATTTTCTGGAAGAGAGATTGATTGATTCAAAGATAAAATATTACCATTTTATTACATGCTTTCAAATTTCTATTTATAGTTTCAGTGTTTTAACATTCCTACCAGCATCATCTTGAGTTTTGCCAACAAAGTATGATGTGATGTACTTTAAAAAAACAAAACAAAAAAACAAAACAAAAAAAAAACCAAACTTTTTGCCCATCTGTGGGTAAAAAAAAAAAATTGTGGTGGGCGGTGGTGGTGCACACTTTTATTCCCACCACTTGGAAGGCACAGGCAGATGTATCTCTGTGAGTTTGAGACCAGCCTGGTCTATAAGAGCCAGTTCCAGTACAGCCTCCAAAGACAGACCCTGTCTTGAAAAGAAAAAAAATGTGTCTTGTGTTTTTTTTTTTTTTTTCTTGTTCTTTCTTTCCTCCTCTTTCTTCTTCTGCATCCTCCTCCTTCTTTTTAATAAGTGAGATATTAGTTTTTGGTTTTCTGGATTTCCTAATGATTCTGTTTTTTCTATTTGTGTTTTTCAGAGTCAATACAGATTTGTCTGTGAAGCTATTTTGAAAGTATATGAAGAAGGTTTTGTTAAACCATTAACAACACCATCAAATAAATAAGAAAGCAAAAAGTTTGAGATAAGTATTGGGAAACTGATTTTTGTTGCATTCACTGTGCCATAATACTGCTCACAGGAAATGGCATCTCACACAAAAAAGAGAACTCAAACAAACTTTGGAAACTTCAGCACTATTGCACTTTATGTTTAAAAAAGTCACTCAAAACCTATAACTCATATGTTTGACTATTTTGTGCTTTGCTCTGAACAAATAGTGGGAACTGAATATGTTCAGGGTAATTTGTGGAATTTCAAGGTGGTGCCATGCTGTCCCCTCTGGTGGAATTGCCCCAGACAAGGCTCAGAATTCTCATCTCTGTTACACACCTGTACCTTGAAAGCAAAAAGGAGTAAACATCAGGAGTCTGCTCTGGTCTTTCCAGTGGTTCATGTACTTACTCTACTGAGTACCAGATTTTATTTTTCAAACGTTAGCAATACCATTCTCAACATTAGCCAGTACACTGCCTGTGGATGCAGCACATCCTCCCTGACATCCCCAGTAGGGACCTGCTGTTGAGAAGAAAAGTGGAACTTGCTGTTCCCAGGAAATGCTGCACAGTGTCCATTTACCAGCATCTTATAGAAACTATATCTATGAATCTATGGATTTTCTAGGATTTAATAATGTAACTTATATTTATCATAAGGTTGGCTTATTCCAAATCATGTGATTTCACATTCTTGATGTAAAGGAATGCATGCATCGTGTCTTAACCCCTTAAGTGCCTTGAATTATCTTTGTCTAATGAAAAGGCACTCATTTGACCCCATAGGAGGTATGTATACTATACATTCTTAAAGTTTTATGAATTTTTAATAAGTTCACAGTGTAAAAAACAGCTCCTTATGTTGAGAGTTATACAAAGAAGGGTAAGGAAATTTTGTTTCTTACCCAGTGCTTGCTTGTACTTTGCCATAAAAGCGAGGATGGCTGGGTTCTGCTGAGAGTGCATTCTGCTGCTGTGGAATTGTTCACAATCTGTACATTCCTTTACTGAGGAACAGGGGTTAAAGTTTAGCAGCTTAACTTAAAAAGAGGGTTTATTCTTCAGATTTCATATTTACTTTACCCCTAACTTAAAAAGTAATGTTTAACATGTGCATTAGAGATAAACATATTAACACTCTAAGCTACAGTTACAAAGGTAATGTATTCCTGTCTATAACTGAAGTCTTTCCCTGCAGCACTCATTCCAGTTCATATCAGGCTATCTTCACATTGGTCTTTCTTTTATTTTTTCTTTTTCTTTTTCTTTTTCTTTCTTTCTTTTTTATTTATTTATTTTTTTGAGTGTTGTGTTTTTCAAGACAGAGTTTTTCTATGTAACAGTCCTGGCTGTCCTAGAACATGCTGGCCTTGAACTCATAGAGATCTGCCAGCCTCTGCCTCCCAAGTGCTGGGATTAAAGGCATGTGTTAATTCCACCTGGCACATTGGAATTCTTCAGACAAGGAATTAAATACTATTGACTTCTTCTAAATGTGACCCCCAAAATAGTAAATGTAGGTTTTCTTGTCATTTTTCTATACAATTATATTATCTAGTTTATATATGCCTATTAAATTACAAGCATGTTTAGTGAGGCTTTTGATTGTCCATTTTGACTGAAGATTCAACTCCTATTACAGATCTGTGTAGTTTCCTTATCAGCTTCCTCTGTTTTAAGTCTGTGGAGATGGATCTTTAAAATTGCCCAATTTAATGTGAGAATTTGCTTCCTACTCAAATGATATTTTATATGGGTATAGTTAAAATAGGCACATTTGCTAGTGGTTTCAGAATATTTCTGTAGTCTTGATAAAAATAGATTCCAATAGTAGGTATTTTGGATAGCTATTTAATTAGAGGGGTGACATACATTTAAAAATCTTTAGTAAAATCTAAATTATTGATTCACATATTCAATAATCCATGATAGTGAAATTCAGAAGTTAAGCCCCAAAACATTAATGGCCAGTGTGCCAAATAAATTCTCATTTATAAATATTTTCTTATTTTTTAGAGAGACATAAACATCTTTATGTCAAACAGAAGTCCTCCTGTTCTGACTTCACATGCAAGACAATATAAGATAGTGAAAAATAGTTTCACCCAAGCATTCCATCCTCTACCAGAGGCAAATGTAATTTAGGCTAGTAGCATATCATTACAAGTTAAAAAGGGAAATCAAGTTGGAGATTTATACATTATGCAGTTACTTTATTTCATTGATGTACTTTAGTCTAAATTTTAAATGTCTACCCTTGCTATGTGGATAGAATTGATAACCCTAGGCAAAAAGAGAAAAGCTGTGTAGAAGTTAAAAGGCAATGTCATAATTCACTTGCTCTTTAATGTAAAGCTTTATTCACACCTCTGTAGTTATCACTGATGTTGGCAAACAGCATTGCTGCCTTTTAAATCATTGTTGCTTGTCATTAAGTGACGAGTGTAGACTTAAATTTAAATTTCTCATCTGAGAACTGTCCTCTATTGATATTTTACATGTAAAAACAGTCCTTTTAGAACATTTGTTATGCTCTTAAGCTAAAATTACTCTTCACAAATTGTTAATATGGATATGCTAATTAAATTTTCTTAGGTATCTAACATATAATACTGTCCTTTACACCTAAGCATTTAATCAGTTTATTAATCTAAATAGATTTCTAGAATAGTTTTTATAGCCAAGTAGTGCTAGACTTCATACATACTGATGTAATATTGTGTGACAGAGATCCAATTTCTTGAATTAAACTACTTTTCTATTTCACTACCCACCCTTAGAACCAAACCCTGACATTTATTCTGGCAAGTAAAAAAAAAAAAATCAGTATTGGTGAATGAGGGGCTTTTTGTACATGCTAAAAAGTAAATGTGAAAAATTTCCCTTTCTGAATTTAGATGATTTTTCTGTGCTTCTTTCAAGTGTTTTATTGAGCATCTGGTTTTCCTCAGCACTGTCTAGATACTCTGTAGTAATATTTTGGAGTAGACTTTGCATTCACAAAAAGAATAGGTTGTATTTGCTAAACTAATCCACCATTCAAAAGTGAGGCACAATAAATAGCCCCCGAAAAAACCTTTGTGTCGCCTTCTGGGGCAAGTAATTGGGAAAGGACAATGATTGATCATTTTGACCTAAGAAAAAAGATAACATTGTATGAAAATTGACTTCAAATGCACAAAGTTATGCTGAGCCATTAAGACAGTTACTTGAAGGTTTTGGGTACTACTGTACATGCCTTCATAGATAAACATCAGTACATTGGCTTGCATGTGTACTTCATGAAGGTGTGTCCAGAGACTGAATGGACTTTGACCATGGGGTTGTTTATATCTCTTGGCAGGTCTGGACCAAGTCTAATTTGTTATTTGAGCAAAAATGTCTCTTGTAGCGGTACTACACTTGAGAGCTATAAGAAGTTGAAAGATCTTTGTCCAATCTCTACTTCCTTATGATAGGAAGGACAAGAGACCCAGCAATTAATTTAATGGAATCTGGTCATCTTAAAGTTTTCTAATTCTCCATCTAGAGAATTGTTGCTGTAATAGATTAGAACTTCAGTAAATTGTGAATATGATAAATGCTTGTTAATTTTATCTATTTCTACCTGGGAAGCATGCTCAGTATTGTCACTTTGAAACTTTGACACCTTAGAAATATGAAAGTAGGCTTCAAAAGTGATGTCAATTAGGACTTGGGCCAAGTTTGCTAGTTGCACTTCCCTAACAGATGAATATAAGCTGTTGTGAAGTATATAGGCTGATACACATACAGTAGACAAACTGAACTGCAAGTAGGAAGGCGGTTTTAAGGCACTTAAAACATAGAACTGAGATTTAGAACTTATATCTACTTGCAAAATTATTTATATTCATAATGTGAACATGTGATAAAATTGAAGTATGGCTTGTTTATCAGGAAGAGCGAAGGAAACATGAATTTATAGCAACATGCTATCTAATGTTTGTGCTTTGAATATTTAAAATACTCTGATGGTAAAGTTGCCAAAGTAGTTTTGAACTCATGTAAGTTGTTTATACCACAATAATGTGGGATATGTTTACAGGCTCTTTATAGTACTTATTTTATAGTTCTGATAAATTTGTATTTAAGCCATTTATAGTAAATATGTGATGATAAATATTTGCTGGAATAAACATCTCAGTAATATAGCAAATCATATCTAAATGATCCCACAGTCTGCTTTCATACAAGGTGCTGCATCCACAAAGCAAGTACTTTGTTAACATTGCTCACATCCAACTACCATTCCTGGAGCCATTTGTGGTGCTTCCGCCAAGTAAAACAGCTGTCATTATATTATCAGTGGATTGAATTTATCAAATATTTAGAATTACTGATCTGTTGACAGATACTCATTTGTGTCTCAGTGTGAGGGCTAATTGCTAATAGATAATTTCATCAATTTTAAGAATACAAAAAATAATCCCAAAATTATATGTTTTGGGATATGCTTTTTACCACAATTGTTATTTTTCATGGATTTCATTTACTCTTAGTAGCAGTTACTATAATAAACTTCTCTGTGTTAACAGAAATAGCAGCCCTTTTATTCCAACCCAAAATTACTTTCTTTCCATGCCCTAGGTGAATTTGTTTTGAATACATACCATAGTTACTTATTTCCATATATAAATGTGTTGCTGCTTATTTTACGTTTTTCTACTATGGTATACTGTTGATTTCTAAAGTTGTTTATTTTTTTGTCCTCCAAAGCTAAATGGGCAGCCATTAGTCATAGCTGCTTGACAGCAGTTCATCTATATTAGCTAGGTATGGTTCAGTACATACACAAGTAAGCCAATAGTACTTTTAATTTGCAGAACGTTATTAGCAATATTGCAAGTTAAAAACTACACTGTTAAGGAAGAGTTCAAATGTTTAGCTTTCTGGAACCTTGTAAAAATTCCAGTATAAGAATGAAAAAGGAAACCTTGTTAAGGTCATAAAGGTTTCGATTAAACATTGTAGAGTTTTCCTATTATTATGTAAATGATATACAGAAAATATTTTTCTATGAACAGAAGGTTAATAAAACTGTTAACTTTAATTTCATTGTTTAAAAGGGATAAAACAATATTTGTATGTCTTTCGTGCTGTAAAGAAAATGAATGTATCTTTCAAATGTTAGAGTTATTACTTGATTCTAAGTATATTGTGTTTGTTTAAAAAAGAGAGAGAAATCTGCAAAGGAGTGAAAAGAGTGTTATAAGTCATTATGTAAAATGCATTGTTGGAAGAAATGGAATTTCATTATAAATGGTCACTGTCAAAGCATTTTTCACAAATAGTGTACATTCATTTCACATTGCTCTGTTTTGGCTCTAGAAGTTTTCCTTAAAAGTTGTATATACTATTTTGAGTGTTAAGTATTTTAATTCTATGCTTGTAGGGAAGAATGTTTGTGTGTTAGGCTAAGTGTGCTGCTACATGTGTCTACCATGGAGGAAAGTTCCCAAGCTTTGTCAGTGTTGCAGCCACCAATGGGGGCATCATTGTAAGAATGTGAAGCCAGAAACCCATGCCTAAGAGCCACTGCAGTAGTTATGTGCAGAGGCCTCTGACCCTGCTAACGAGTTTCCCTTTTTATCTTCAGTAATGTGGATAGTAGGACCACTGGGCCCAACTCTTGTGACTTAAAACAGTGGTGGCTTGTATGCTTACAAGTTTATTCAGCTAAGTGAAAACTCTTCACTTTAAAACAGTGCCTGTAGGCATAATTTATTTGTTAAATATCGCCTTTAAATCTAGTAATTACCAATTATTAAACTTTATGAAATTGGGAATTAATTGTTTTGATGCTTTCTAACCCTCCATACTAATTTTAACTTATCATGACATACCCTGAACAACCAAAAGGTAATCCAAGGTTAGTGTCAGATTTCCTCAACCCCAGCAGTTAACAAAGTTTGGCACTATTAATTCTGGTAACTTAGAAGTCACATTGTTAAGTAAAGTTGCTGCCAGGGCTCAACAAGAAAATAGCTTTTTCTTCAACCTTTGGCCCAAATTGTTGCTGCTTTGTGGTTTCCCTAGATCTACTACTATATGTCATTATATCTACTATCGTCATAATTTGGCCTATTTACCTTTTTTAAAAATATTTGTATTATATTATTACAGTTATTTGCTTTCCTGGTCAAGGATGTTTCAACACAATTCTGTGATTTCTTTGGATTCATCTTTCCTAGTCTTTCAGTGAGTTAGCAAGACTCCTCATTCCTGAATCCTGTAGAGTAGGTCATATTTCAGTGCTAAAATTGACTTCAAATAGCACTTTATTTCATGCTTACTACTGACTTAATTTATACATTAAAAATATCTATCCTAGGAGTTTTGTAAATACAAAAAAAATCAATTAGTATTAGAGTTTATTAGAATGGCCCCAAGTTTAAATGCTTTATAATTATCTCTTGATAGTGTCTTTGATATTTAAGAGGTAACCTATGTGATTTTAGCTCTGCAATTTTTCTGTCATTTGTATAATACAATAGAGGCTGCCCAGCCGACTATGTTGCTGGATTCAGTTCTCTCAGCTAGCTTCAACCAAGCTTGGTTTACTAAAGTTGTTTCTGCTCTGCATTTTGTGAACATCACATGAATACTTCGAAGTTCTGTTTCTCAGTGTAGTTAAGTAGATGCTGCACCACAAGTACATAGTTTATATAGAAGACAAAGGGCAGAATTTATGATACTGTAACAGTTTATATTAAGCTGTTTTCATATTCTGCCAGTACAGTATATCTGCTATAAAAAATAAAAGTTGTCTACCCTAGTGTTCTCCAGCATCAGAACGTACCACTTATGAACTATGTTGTAATCTTTTCAAATAAGAAAAGCTAGTCCTTGTTTTCTACAGTGTAGGTTTAACTTTAGGACTGATAGTTTATACTTATCAGTACTATTTTTAAGCAGTAGTTTTAAAATTATTTCTATGTAGAGGGTATTTTACTTTGGGAACTTTCTTTTCTTGTAATAGGTGCTATATGTAAATATGGAGTGAGAAGTTTGCTTGGTTAAAAGTCTACTTTATTTCCTTATTAAAATATTTTTCATTTCTATTTCCATTTCATGTTTTGTACTGAACTAATAGCAGAATGGAATTAGTCCTTTAATGTTGTTGATTACCTTTTCTCCCAGTTGTACAAAGATATCTCTGTGTGCTTTGGTCTCATGATTAAGAGCCAAAGAAGCTAAGAATGAAAACTTCAAATACATAAGCTTGAATTTGGTCAACACTGGATTATTTGAAATGATCACTGTGCATTTGTCACTGCAGATTACTGTACGTTGAAAGGCCTTATGTTTTGTCTTAATTTCAGTGAAAATTAGAATTCCTGCCATTCATGGTTTTAAACAATCTACACATACCAACAGTGAACAGGATAAAAAAATGCTAGTCTGCATTGAAACTGTTTTAGTCCTAACATCAATTTATGTTATGTGCAATGCTAGTACACATATTTTGTTGGGCATATTTCGTTTTGATTGAGTAGTTGTTCAGGTACAAATGGGAAAAGGGAAAAAAAAAAAAAACACCTCTAGCTGTTAATGTTCAATTGAAAAATAAAGATGTGCTTTAGTATTCTAATGACTCTGTGTCAAGATTATTTCATGGGAATTTATTCTTGGACTCTACCAACAATACTTTAGTCCTTAATGAGTAATCAGAAGGGATGATTGAATGCTTAACATGATGTTTATTTCTAGAAGTACTAGCACACACCGTGGCTCTTTTTTATTTATTTTTTCCTGAGACAGGGTTTCTCTGTGTAAGTTCTGGCTGTCCTGGAATTCACTTTGTAGACCATGTTGACCTTGAACTCAAAGAGATCTGCCTGTCTCTATATCCCAAGTGCTGGGATTAAAGGCGCTAGCCACCACTACCCAGCTACACAGTGACTCTTCTTGAGGGAATGGGGAGAATAGTGATTTAAAGAGAATTTAGAAAATTAAAGAATAATATTTTTGTGTGTGGTGAATGGACATGTATACATTCTGGAACAGCTGCCTATTCTCAAACTTGTGAAAGCCAGGGGAAGGCATTTGGTGTTGTCCTCTATCAATCTCCACCCTATTCTCTTGAGACAGGATCTTTCATTGAACCTAGAATTTAATGTTTTTCAGCTAGACTGGCTAGCCAGCAAGCCTGTGATCCCTTGTCTCTAACAACCACAGCATGGGGTTGCAGGCACACATATTTGTGCTCAGTTTTTTACATGGGTTCTGGGAATCCTAACTCAGGTCCTCATACTTGAACAGTAAGCATTCTTTTTTGTTTGTTCGTGTTTTCAAGACAAGTTTTCTCTGTGTAACAGTCTGGCTGGCCTAGAACTCACAGAGATTCACCTCCCACGTACTGGGATTAAAGGCACTATCGTCTGGCTGAGCAGCATTCTTACCTATTGAGCCATCTCTCTACCTAGAGAAAAAAAGTATCTGCTGTCTCCATTGTGGCCACACCTCTTCCAGTAATCCCAAAGCAATACCTTGCCACTCAAAAGACTTCTCTGAAAGTAAGCCTGAATCACATCTTCCCAGGTGCAGACAGGCATTCTATTTGCATGTTGGAGGGAAGAAGTAAAGATTTTGTATTGTTTTGGTTTTGTTTGGGGGGGTGGGGATTGTTTATGTTTGTTTGTTTTTTAGGTAGCCTTGGCTTCCCTTGAACTCAATAAACTGCCTGCTTCTGCCTTTCAAGGGCTGTACCACCACACCCCTGCAACCAATAACTGTTGAGGTGCATACATGGCAAAGGCAGGTACCATGCATAGTGACTTGTGCCTGTAGTTCCACCTACTACTTTTAAGGCTGAGGTATGAGGATCATTTTAGGACAGGAGTACAGGGCCAGCCTGAGCAACACAGAAAACCTGTGTCAAAATAAGAAAAAAAAATTATGAGAAACATTTTGAGGAAAATCCAAGATAATTTATGGCAGTCTCATACCAACTCCCCACCTCTGAGAAAAGCCCCCTCAGATCTAGTGAAAAACGTAGACCTGTAATCACAATAGTACCCTGGAGACTCAAATTTGGTTCTGTAAAAGCCAGTCAACCTATAAGCCCCACCTGCCCAAGGGTCAGGCAATTTCCTGGAATGTTGGGAGTTGTAGTTCTTGGAAAAAAAAAAAAAAACACGTGGTAAATGCTGTGGTTTTATGGCTTTGTCCTTTAAAAGGCCCTACAGCACTTGCCTTGTGGCCACTCGCTGGGAACGAAAGTGGATCTGACCAGAGTCCATTTTTCTGGTCAGTATTTAAATGAAGCTTGCTTCAAATTTGTCTCAAAATTGTTGACCTGTTTTTTTCTCATGCAATTCTCAGGATTAACAGTAACTTTGAGCTATATGAAGCTTTGGGGCAGTGGAAGTCCCATCATATCATTGATGACCTCTGTTCAAATATATTTTCTTCTGGGGAAAATGTGTATTTGTGTATACATGTATATTTACATTTGCAAGATTGTATGATATAGCCTGCAATGTTGTGTGATATTTTGTTTCTGTTCTGACAAAGCTTGTCTTGAGATCAGAGGTTGGAGCTAGCCACTAGCTAACCACAGAAACTGGGTAGTGGTGGCTCATGCCTTTAATCCCAGCTCTCTGGAGGTGGAGACAGGAAGTAATAAGACGCTATGGAGGAACAGGATCCTCAGACCAAAAAGGCCTGGGATCCTTTTCTTCCTTTATTTTTTATTTTATTTTAGTTTATTTTTGTCAAAGGGTCTGGAAAGGTATGTGGTCATTGGTAGCTGCCCCCCAGTTCTCTGATCTTCCAGGTTCTGATCCCAATATTTGACTCCTGATTTTTTATTAATTAGATTAACGCTTCACTGCACTTTTCATCGTGGGATAATTCCATGTTAGCATATTCATATGTGTCTCATTCTTTAAGACATTATTTATTTTGGGGGTCATTTGGAATGACTGTGTATATACTGGCACAGCACTCATGTAGAGGTCAGAGGAAAACTCTCCATTATGTGAGCCTTGGAGATCAAGCTCAGGTCATCAGGCTTGGTGGTTAAGTGTCTTCTTGCAGAGCCATCTCACCAGCCCTGTCTCTTTTTAATTATGCCATCATATGGATGTTCCATAGTTACATTTTACAATTATTATATTTGTATGTGTGTGCATCTATCAGGTGAGCTAGATCCCTGGCTTACTTCCCTTTTTTGAGACTGGTCTTGCTTTAAAAACCTGTACCAGGCAGAAGAAATGACACTAGTTTCCTGGTCTTGTCCCCAATCAGCTAGGGAGCTTCAGTTTTTACTCTCTCCACCCCAAAGGCTCTGCTATGGTAGAGCTGTGTGTACTCAGCTGTTGCTCTATTGGCCCCAGCTGAGATGCCACACAGGTGACTGACACTATTCTGGCAACACCACTGGAGCAGAGAGAGCTGTTCTGCCTGGCCTAACCAGGGTGGTGCAGATGTAGTCAGTGCCAAACCTGTAGAAATGGTGTCTCCTGGGCCTTCCCTCCACACACTAATTTCTGGCAAGATCCCACCAGGGTCTCTTCCCATGCCCTTTCCCTCTTCAATGGCACCTCCTGCTCTTGCTCCTTTTGTTTCAGTATTGCCCTTGAGCCGATCCACACAGGCCTTTGCCAGGGTGTCTGCTGGGCTATTTCCTCAACAACTTTAGGTCTGAACTCAATGTCATTGTGTTAAGAGACCTTCCTCCTTGCTGAATTTGCAGCCCTTCAGTTCCCTGACCCCACTTCCTGCTGTTACTTTTCTCTTTAGTATTATTTACTAACAGCTAACCAAACATGTATATTCAACCCAGGACTTCATGCATTCTGCTATATGTAGCCTCTCTTCTCTTCTCTTCTCTTCTCTTCTCTTCTCTTCTCTTCTCTTCTCTTCTCTTCTCTTCTCTTCTCTTTCTCTTCTCTCTCTTCTCTTCTCTCTCTTCTCTTCTCTTCTCTTCTCTTCTCTTCTCTCTTCTCTTCCTTCCTTCCTTACTCTTTCCCTCCCTTTCTTTCTCTTTCCTTCCCTTCTTCTTTCTTCCTCCCCCTTCTTCACCCTCTTCCTTCTTCAGATGGTGTTAAGTAGGTTGGCCTCAAATTTCTGAGTTCAAGTGATCCTCCTGCCTCGGCCTTGAGACGAGCAAGGACTACAGGTACACTGCCACACAGACGTGGTCATGAAATAAACTTGTTTAATTGTGACAGAATCTCAAAATGCAACATAAGGTAGCCCTGATCTCACTACTGAGCCTCCCTTTGAGTCTCCCTCCAAAAGGGACTACAGATTTTTGTCACTGTGGTTGCCTCGAGGGACTTTTGTCTTTCTTCTTTATCTGTCCTATCTCCAGGGCCTACAGCACAGTAGGCATTTTGATAAATTATCTGAAGAATGTCCGAATGGAATGTTGCCTTGCCACTCAGGACCTCCCTGGCCACAGCACCTTAAACCTCAGTCTGTTATTTCCCTTTCCTAGCTTTGTTTTTCTCCAGGACACTTATCACCACTTGACACATATTTGTTTACTCTCTTTCTCCATTGTAGACTGAAAGTTGCTTTAACAGTAAAGGCTTAAATCCATTTTAATCCTTAGGAATTGGGGGTAGGGGAGCAAGGAAACATTTAAGTATTTACAAATCAATGAACAATTGTGTAAGAGAAAAAGATATACCAGACCACATTGAAAATAGCAACATCTTGGTTATTGATTTTTGCTGTGCTAGGGAATGGGTCCAGGGTCTAGTATGTACTAGTCTAACAACCTACCACTGAACTGTATCCCAAACCCAACATTTGATTTTAAATTGTATAATCAAGAAAGTGAAAATTCACTGGGTGGTGGTTGCTCAGGCCTTTAATCCCAGGAGGCAGAGGCAAGGGGATCCCTGAGTTCCAGGTCAGCCTGGTCTACAGAGGGACTTGCAGGACAGCCTAGAAGAATGAAGGGAAAGGAGGGAGGGAAGGAAGGAGAGAGAGAGAGAGAGAGAGAGAGAGAGAGAGAGAGAGAGAGAGCATTTAAAACACATAAAACCAAGATACTCAGTGAGTAAAAGTGCTTGCAGCCAAATGTGTCAACCTGAGTTCAGTCCCCTGGCACTCACAAGATAGGAGAGAACCAACTTTTACAAATTTACGTGGACTGTGGCATACATGCACCCCCTCCTTACTCTCCCCACACGTATACGCACATAGACAAATAAATGTAATTTTTTTTCTTTTAAGACAGGGTTTCACTATGTAATCCTGTCTGTCCTGGAACTCCCAAAGTAGATCAGGCTGCCCTTGATTTCCTCAGAGATCCTCCTGCCTTTGCCTCCCAAATTCTGGGATTAAAGGTGTGCACCACCATGCCAAGTTTTTCCCCCCTTCGTTTTATTTATTTTTTTAATTAATGAACAAATGAATCAGTGTAGTAGCCAGGTTTCCATACACCTAATAGCTCCCTCAGGATAAAACAAAGTTTTGGGCAAGCGCAACAGGTGCCTCTTAAACTGTAGCTTCTTGTTCCTGTGGGTCCCACCTGGCGTCGCCGGCTTAAATTCACTCTAAGGAGGCTGATTTCCGGGGCGGCGCCATCGCCCCTTTAAGAGCCTAGCACCCCCCCCGTCCTTCGGGGCGGGGCTTGGATAGGGCTTTAAGGGGCGTGCCCGCAGGCGGCCGGGGTCCTCCGGGGATTAGCGCAGGGTGGGCTCGCCCCTAGCGCCGCCATTTCTCTGCGTCTTCAGAGACCAGTCCTCCCCTCAGGTCGGCCGGGCGTCTCTCCCCAAGGGTCGTGCGCGCCTGTCGTCGTGGTCTCGGTCGCTACACGGTCTTCACCCCCGAATAAAAGGTAAGCGGGTGGCCCCGAGTGTCCAGTTCGCTCTGCTCACGGAGCGTAACCTCTCGGCCGCGCCGGGTGGGCGGCCCGGCTCCCCGGGCGACGCCGCGAGCTGGGAGGGGAGTGGCGGCGGCGGCCAATGGGGCTGGGCTCTGAGTTTCCCTAGATACCGAGCGGTGGCCGCCGAGGACCGGGCGCCTACCTGGGGTCTTGGGCATCGTGGGAGCGACTCTGGTCAGTCCTGACTTCTGTGTAGCCGTGGGGTTAGGGGAAGGTCTCCAGTGTCAACTCGTCAGGATCGGGTAGACGCACACCCGACGGGCCGTGCAAAGCTCGCGCGCGATCCAGTGAAACTTAGGAATCGTGTGAGGCAGGTGCGTTCCCGGGAACCGCCAAGGCCGAGGGCGCTTCCCGCCCCCACGCGTGGCGCGCGACGGGTAATGATGGGTCCTCCTGTGGGTAGAGGATAATCGTGTCTGTCTCTGTGGTTACTGCAGTCTCCAGGGTTCTGCTTTAAAAGCAAGGAGACCCTAGTCTCCGAAGTTGTTTAGCAAGTTTGAAGTTGCTAGTAGTGGGTTGGTTTTTTTGTTTTGTTTTGTTTTTTAGAATTAGAGATAAGCTCATCAATAAATTCTCAACGTAATTCACAACTACGCTAGCCCCAGCTGCAGCATAAACTGGGGCTGCACCACTTACTGTAGTGGGATACTTACTTATGTCTTCCCAATCGCTTTAGTATCTTTCTTACCCACCCACCCCCCACCTCCCACCCCTTTCCTTAGTTCTTCTCTTTTGATACTGGGAACCTAACCCTTGTTCAGGAGAGTGCTATGCTGAGCTAAATCCTCAAACATGGTTTTTGTTCTGCTAGGGTAACTTGTTTGGGATTCGATGTGCGTAATTTTCCTACGTTTAGTTTCTCAGTTTTTCTTTTGCGAGAGGTAACTGGGATGATAAATACTGGTAACTTAAGGTCATTTTCTGTATGTTGGCAATATTACTGTTAAAATAAAAGCCAGTGGCTCAGTATCTAGTTGGATGCCCAGGGTTCAATCCCCAGCACTGCAAAAAGAAGAACCAAATGGAGGAGGTGCAGTTGGCCTTCAGTAATGTATGCATATACACATTTCATGACTAACTTGGGGTAGGGGTGGGGTAAAGCAACTGTTGGTTAAGTAGGAAATTGATTACTTAAGTTTTCATTTCTATTATTGGAAAGGGAAACTTGCTTACTAGAAACCACGCAACTCAACTCCTGACCCCATATCTTCAGTTTATTTTCAGAGACAGTGTCTCCCTATGCAGCCCAAGCTAGCTTGGAATTTGATATATATATATTCTATATATATTCATCCCAGATTGGCTTGGAACCTAGAATTCTGTTTCTGCCTTCCATGGGCTGGGGTTATTTTATTAGTCTCTTTTATTATCCTCTTTTAGCATTTGCTTCTTCAAATAGTACCATTTTCTAATGTATCATTTCACTCTATCACAGTTTTTTTATTGATTGTCTAATATGTAATATGTATCATAACAAGCACTTTGATCATCCATTACAGTAAACAAGTCAGGCTAGGTCCCTGTTGTCCTATTGCAGGAAGGGAAGCTAGCAAGTAAAAAAAAAAAAAAAGTCAATTAAATATTTAATTACAGTTTCTTTCCATGTTATTTAGAAAAGCCTGTGTGCTAACAGGGCCATCTAATCCATCCTCAGGATCTGAGAATGCTTTTCTGAGGAAAAAGCATTTCAGGTGTAAATACAGAGTTAATTACATTAAAGAGGGAGAAGAATGGAAGATGGAGTGGACAAAGATTATCCCAGAAAGATGGAACCACTAATGAAGAAAGTTCTGGAATTAGACACTTGAGCCGAGCAAAGCACTGGAGCAGAGACTGCAAACAGCTAGATAGGGCCCTGAGAAGTCCAGAAGGAGGAGCCAGAGCTGTTAAAGATTTAAAAAGCAATCAGATTTGTGCTGGCTGATAATCCACCAATACACTGGCTGTGTGAGAACAGGATTGAGGGCAGGGGGGATGAGGGAACAGAAATATGGGGACACTTTTTTTTTTTTTTAACCTAACTCAAAATTTTTTTTTACTATTTACAAACTTAAAGCCACACATATTCTTATGACCTGGATTAACTCTCTCCAGAGAGAACCTCCCTTAAATCATCTGCATTTTGTAGTTCCTATGTATGTGAGGATGTATGTGGATTATATCTCAAAGTGTTATAAAACTGTTTTCATTTTTCAATTAATTTGATTTTTCACTTATAAATTTAGTCCAAGGCAGGTTTGGTTTGTTTGTCTAAGACAAGTTATCACTATGTGGCCTTGGCCGGCCTGTAGACCAGGCTGACTTCCAACACATAGAGATCCCACTTGCCTCTGCCTCAAGTGCTGCAATAAAAGAAACAACTACATATTTTACCAGTATTTATACCATAACTCACTTATCTCTTTGCATCATCATGAATATATGAATTTCTTTTTTTTTAAAGATTTTATTATGTATATAACATTCTGCTTCCATTTATATCTGCACACCAGAAGAGGGCACCAGATCTCATAGCAGATGGTTGTGAGCCACCATGTGGTTGCTGGGAATTGAACTCAGGACCTCTGGAAGAGCAGTCAGTGCTCTTAACCTCTGAGCCATCTCTCCAGCCCCCAAATATATGAATTTCTTAAGTCAGTTACACCAAGAAAAATTTTTGTTCCTGCAACTTAGAAATAGAATTGCTGCATAAAGACTATACAATTTAGTAACTTGTTCAAGTAGGATAATATATGAAAATGTATAAAAGCATTCTCTCTGCGACATGGAAATCCAACCAAGGACCTCCCCCATGGCATTTTTTTTTTTTAACACTGATCTGTGTTTGTGAGTATACATGTGTGAGGATATTAGAGAACACATAGGAGCTGTTCTCTCCTTCCACCATTCAGCCCCTCAAGCACTAGAGACTGAAGGCATACAGGGACAGGCATCTTTCCTGAACTTTGCTTGTGTAGTACTAGACATGGCAGGTACATCCCACTTCTTACTTTTTGCTTTTAATTGTTTACTTTTTATTTGAGACAGAGTCTCTTGTTGCCTAGGTTGACCTAGAACTTGCTATGTAGCCAGTGAAAATTGTGATCCTCCTACTTCCACCTCCCCAGTGCTGGGATTAAGGGTGTGTCTGCTTTTATCTAATTTTTTAGTTTAGATCTTCTTGTCTGCTATTGGACTCTTTTAATCATGTGCTTAAAGGGTGGGGAGGGATGCACTTGCATACCTGCAGAATTGAATCTTTCCTTCCACCTTTATGTGGATTCTGGGGATCAAATTCAGGTATCAGGATTTGCCTTAAGGACCTTTACTTACTGAACCCTCTTATATTTTTTATTTGTTTGTTTTTTTTTTTTTTTTTTTTTTTTTGGTTACAGGACCTTCATGTGTAGCTCAGGATAGCCTGGAATTGGGATGTATATAGACCAGGATAGACTAGAACTCAGAACTCCCCTGTTTTAGATTTCCAAGTGCTAAGAATTATTTATGAGGCTTCCTTATTATTCTCATTTGGGATGTTTTTTTTGTCATGTCACCCATTTTCTTCTATGAGGTTGTTTGTCTAGTTAATTTGTTTATTTTTGCTTTCTGGGCATCTAACCTAGGGCCTTGTGTGTATGGCAGGCAAGGACTCTTATCACCAAGCTATATCTCTGTAGAGATGATTTGTAATAACTCTGTTAAACTACATAGTAATCCTTCAAAATACTTTTTTTTCAGAAATTGTTTAAAAGTCCTTTATTATTTTATTTCTTCCTAGTAATTTTTTATTTTTTTGCTTGAAAAGTATATGTTATTTCATGCTGTCATGTTTCTATGAAAAGAACTTGCTGTTCTTCCCAGTATTGGGTCTTATTGTTCAAAATAACAGAAGTCTAAAGGAAAGATGTTTTTCTTTAATTAGATAACTTACAGTAGTATTTTTTCCAAATGTCAGGATAAGGTGAAAGAAAAGTAGTTTTATAGTTTCTTAGGAAATAAATTTATAAAACATTGGAATATTTTTCTTTGACTTATAAAAAATTTAAGATACATAAATATCAAAAGAAAAATAAGGATTATGCTCTCAAGTTGCTTACAGTAAAGAATAAAAGAATAATTATCTGATGATAATAAAAGGTTCAGTGGAAGTGTGATTATAATGACTAACATAGCTAGCAGGATGTTTTTCTGTGGGTATGATGGAGCTGGCTTAAAAGGAAGAAGTAGGGTTCAGTAAAAGTAAAGCTTTGTAAGTCTGGAGTCCACAGGGAAAGAAGACTGGAAACCTATTTAAAAACCACCTGGAGAGACCACACAGCTAGTGGGTATGGGGCCTGGAGGCTGGTGGGCTATCCCAAATTGAAGTTCTTTCCTTGGGTTAAAATCTGAAATACATGTAAAACACTATTTTAACATAGTAATATGATCTTAAAGTTACCCTTTTCAAAAGCAGATTGATAGCCACATCTGGTTGAAATAGTCATTTAATTTGGAGGTTTTAAAAAAGTAGCTCTGCCTGGAATTCTGCTGCTTAAACTGTCTGGTGAACTGAGAACAGCTCTCTCCATACCTTATCCTCTGCCTCAGGCAGTTAAGTACCTCCTCTGGTGGTAGTTATTGTAGAGCTGTGGTGTGTCCTGACAACTTAAGCTGTTTGCTGTGGAGTCCTGTTGTGTATGCTGTAGCTGTTTTTCCTTTTCTACACCTTTTTCCTGGAATTAGTAATTGTCTTCATGTGTCCATAGTTAATGTTTACTTTTCTTGAAGTCTTTTAGTTGTAAAACTAAAGACACTAGGTTTACGAAGGAGCTGTATGGTGTTTGCATTGTATGTGCTTCCATGTCTGTATCGTTCACAATTTTAGTGTATGTGCTGCCGAAGCTAGCACAGTGTTTCCATATCTGTATTTGGTGTTTCAATTATAATGTGCAATATTTTAAATAACTAGTAGCTATTTTAACTGTGTTTAACTTTAATGTTCTTAGAATATTAAGCAATAGAATATTTGATAAAACTTAGGAGATTGAATTATTTGTACTTTGCTAAAATAATTACTTGTGTTTTGAATGCTCAGTTTAAAAAAAAAAAAAACACTCAAAGTCTGCCTCAGCGGTGTCTGGCACTGTTGTGTAATGTCTGTAGGGATAGTCATCTGATACCTTAGGTACCACTTACTGATCCAAAACACTTGTTGTATGTCATAAATGATTGCTTTCTCCTGCTAGATCAGCTCCTTATAAAATAACAGTAAGTTTAAAAAGCTCCAAGCATTGCTTTATTTTAATGTGTTTTTTAAACTTTATGTTAAAATCTAGCTTTAAAAATTATTTTGAAATGAAAATTGAATGTATTGTATGCAACATGCTTTGAAATATGTATAAAAGATAATGTGTTTCAACATTTTCTAATTAATGTCCAGAGGGCTTTACTAAATACCACCATTAATTTTACTATAAGTTGTTGGGAGTGTCTTTTCCTGGCTATCACTTTCACCGCTGGTTTTGTAGTGGCAGAGATGCTGAGCTTCCTGAGAAGAACACTTGGCCGCCGGTCTATGCGAAAACATGCTGAAAAGGAGCGACTCCGAGAGGCACAGCGTGCTGCCACACACATTCCTGCAGCTGGAGATGCCAAGTCCATCATCACATGCAGGGTGTCCCTTCTGGATGGTACAGATGTTAGTGTGGACTTGCCGGTAAGTAGGCTTCTCTTAGCTGCCAGTTGTGTGTGAGATCACTATTGTCTGTGCTTCCTTGGGGTAGGTGAGATAGGGTGAGTATGGATCAGGCTCTGAAGTATTCAGTTATGTGGGCTAGGACCTGCATTTAGTGGCAATTGCAAGAAACATCGAATGATGGACAGTTATTGGTGTGAATTAACTCTGTGCGTGTCTGTGCATGTGCACACACTTGTGTTTTTATAGACAGGATCTCACTGTGTAGCTCAGGTGGCCTTGTACTTGTGATCATCCTGCCTCAGCCATCAAGTGTGAGAGTACAGGTGTGTGCCATGTCAGGCTTAATTTCAGAACTATTTACAGATACCAAATCTCTTCTGTCTTTGTTCTGTTTCAGAGACTTCACAAAACTATAAGTTATGTGATTTTTGACATAAGCTTCATTGAATGTTTCTCGATGTCTGCTGTCCCTATAGACTTTTTACTAAAATTCGGTTTGAAAAGTCTGTTTAGAAAACTGATAGCTCACTGTGGCTACAGTATGTAGTTGAATAAATTCTGAAAGGCCTTAAATTCAGAAGTTTAAACTGAAGAATTGGATAGTTTGTTCAGGTTCAAGCTTTCTTGGTTTACATTGGTGGTAGTGGTTTGTTTTATTATTATTATTATTATTATTATTATTATTATTATTTTGAGACAAGGTCTCAGTATGCATCCTAGGCTTTCATGAAACTCATGATCCTCCTGCCTCAACCTCCTGAGTACTGGATCACAGGTATGTTCACCATTCTCAACTCTCTTGAAATGTTTGCAAATCCTCATTGTGTGTTTGTTATCTAGGTGGACATTGGACTGCACATTTTTAGAGTTTTTGATTCTGTGCACTTTAAAGTATCTAAATTTTCTTCCTGTAAGGGCTTGTTGAGGGTTTGTGAGCTATTCCAAAATGAGATACTTAGTAAGGATAGTTTTAATATTTATTTTTTATTTGATAAGAATCTTGAAGGGTTTTGTGAGTCCATTTACTATTAGATATGTAGTAAAAAGCATGAGATTGCTGTGTGAGAGCCTAAGGAAAAAATTTATTACCTAATATTTGAAGTATGAAGTCTTAGGGTTGTTGATGGGTAGGCTGATAATAAGAATTTTTAGAGAAGCGTTTCTAAAGGGCAGTGTGGTGTGGAGGAGAAAGGGTATTGGCTTTAAAAGAAGTAGACCAAGTGTTTAGTGACTGGCCAAAATAGTGATACATTAATTGGATCTAGACATGTTAGGGGACAACTGCAGTGACACAGCCACAGTTTTAGATTGATTTCTTTTGGAGCAAAAAACATGACCTTAAAAAAAATTTAGAATCAATTTTTTTAAAATCTTTTATTTTTTATATGTGTACTTGTGTGACTGTGTCCACATGAGTGCAGCTGCTCATCAAGGCCGGGAGAGGGCATTATATCTACTGTAGCTGGAGTTACTGGTAGTTATGACATGAGCAATGTGGGTGCTGGGAACTGAACTCAGGCCCTCTAGAAGAGCATCAAGCACTCTTAAACCCAGAGCCGCCTCTCCAGCACCACATGTATTTATTTTCATATGTGTGAGTGTTTTGCCTACATTTGTGGTCAGTTGAGTCTTGATAAGGGCACCAAGAGTATTCAACAGAATAGTTTTTCTTTCTCCCCAACAAATGGTAATATGTACATGAAAAAGAATAAAGTTGAATTCTTTCTTCATACTAGATATAAAAATTAAGGTAGCTCAAAGACATAAATATAAGAACCAAAACGGTGCTGGAGAGATGGCTCAGAGGTTAAGAGCACTGGCTGCTCCTCCAAAGGTCCTGTGATCAATTCCCAACAACCACATGTGGCTCACAACCATCCATTAAACCTCTGGCCTTCAGGGATACATGCAGACAGAATACTGTATACATAATAAATAGATATTTTTTTTAAAAAAAAGAACTAAAACTGTAAAATCTTTAGAAGGAAATGTAGGAATATTTATTTTCTTAGATAATGGCATCAATATAATGAATAACAAAAAAGAAAAATCAGGCAAATTGGACTTAATCAAAATTAAAAATGTGTGCCCTTCAAAAGGTACCACTTAGAAAGATAAAAGACCGTACAACATAACATAAAGTGCTTCAAAAATTATATATCTGACAAAGAACTTGTATCTAGAATATATAAAGAACTGTTACAGTACAATAAAAAGATAACCCAATTTAAAAATAAGCAAAATATCCAAGTAGACTTTTTGTTTATTTTTGTTTTTTGAGACAGAGTTTCTTTTTGTAGCCCTTGCTGTTCTAGAACTTGTTCTGTAGTCCAGGCTGATCTCAAACTCACAGATTTGCCTGCCTCTGCCTCCTGAGTGCTGGGATTAAAGGCAGTGTTCTATGGAAGTCTAGTTTTATGGAGAGCTGTAGAAATGAAAAGGTAGATTAGTGGTTGCTTGGGAACTAATAGAGGAGGTAGAAATTAATAGCCATAGGATATGGAATATCTTTTAGAGGTAATGAAAATATTCTGAAATCAACTCTGATGGTTATACATAACTATTGTATGTTCTAAAATCCATTTAATTACATATTGGTGTTGTTTTTGAGACAGTATTTCTCTATGTAGAACTAGCTGGCCTGAAACTCACTATATAGATCCGCCTAGCCTCAAACTCACAGACATTGCCTGTGTCTTCCTCTCAAATGCTGAGAGTAAAGGCCTGTACCCCCACACCTAGCCTAAATCACATACTTTTAATGGGTGAATGGGATATGAGTTACATTTCAATTAAGCTTTTTTGTTTTTAACTTCCGCCCCACAAAAAATAGAGCATTTTGTGTGTGTATGTGTCTTGTTTTACTGCATATAGGTTTTGGGTTATTTTGTTGTTTTGTAGCCAGGGGATATGTTTAAAATGACATTTAGTTGTAATTATGATGATAGTCTTGATTTGGAACAGGGGGGAATAAACTAGAAAGCGCTAAAGCAGTGTAGGTACAAGGGTATGTGAGATTGCAGAAAAGGAAATTCTTAGCACACGAATATGGTGAGGCCAAGGAACAAGGATGAGTAATGAGCACACTGTTAGACTGGGTCATATTCATGGTGTGGAAAATTATAGTCAACTGTTACAGAGAGGGTAAATAATGGAAGTGGAGAAAAGCACATGGAAGGTAAGTGTGTTTGGTAGCCAGGTTTTAGAAAATAAAGGAAGTCTCAGTGGTAGTTAAGTTGTTTTGAATTTTCTGTAGGCCCTTGAACATAGTAGCTACTCTTTTTAATGACCTCCTCCTCTGGAGGAGCAGCCAGTGCTCTTAACCTCTAAGCCATCTCTCCAGCACCCAGTTTTAGTTCTTATGTTTATGTCTTTGAGTTATCTTAATTTTTTTCATATTTAAACCATAACAGATATAGAGTTTTATTGCTTAGATTTTCACATGTCCTGATCAGTAGTATGCCTACTCGTGCCTCTTTGAAACTTTTAGTTTGTGTTAACTAAGAAAGGGACAGCTTATGGGGCTTGAGAGATGGCTCAGTAACATAAAGTACTGAGAAATTTTGCAAAGGACCCAGGTTTGGTTCTCGACAATGACCGTGCATCTCATTTACCACCCCATGACCATTTACCACTCCAGTTCTAGGAGTCTGACACCCTCTTCTAACTTCCAGGATCACCAGGTATGCTTGTGGTACACACCCATACATTTTTTTATGTTTATGGAAACATTCATAAACATAAAATAGAAGTAAATAGATCTTTAAAAATTAAAAAAAAAAAAAAAACATGTCTGAGACAGGATCTCTCACTAAACCTGGAACTTGTTTCAGCTTTTCCACAAAGGCCCTAGGGCTTGGTAGGGGTGGTGTAGGCCTTTAATCCCAGCACTCAGAAGGCAGAAGCAGGCAGATCTTTATGACTTTGAGGCCAGCCTGGTTTACAGAATGAGTTCCAAGACAGCACTACACAAAAGAAACCCTGTCTCAAAAAACAAAATAAAAAAATAAAACAAACAAAGGAAAAAAAAAAAAAAAAAAAGGCCCTGGGATCCATCTATCTCCAGTTCCTAGCACTGGAGTTACAGATAATAGTGGCTACTCTTAACATATTAGTTGTTTGAGCAAGTGAAAAGTTTCTGTACCCTGATAAGCCTCTCCACTGTCTCAGCGATCAAAATCAGACCAAATCAAACAAATTAGAAAAAGTGAGAGACTTTGAAACCCTCAGTCCTAAATGGGATGTCTTCACCAAACCCCTCGCCCTCAAGGTATCTGTGGAGGAAAGAGGTAGTGAATGACTCCAAACACTGTCTTCAAGACCCAGCAGGACTAATGTGGCATGCGCATATGAAGAACTCACAGATACTGGCAGCATGCATAAGACCTACACTAGTTCAAGCCAGGCAGAGTCCCAGCACTGAGAGGGGAAGTGGTCATGAGGCTCCACCCCTAACCAAAAAGGTATTTCTAATTGCAGACAGCTAACAAAGAACAAATCAGTTTTTCAATGGATTGTTGTTGGTCATATTAACTATTCTCCAGGAGACATCCCATGTCCAGGAGTAGTGGGCCAACATAAAACAAACTGCATTGTTTTGTTTGTTTTTTTGTTTTTCATTTTGGCATATTTCGTCTCACAAGTGTTTTTGTTTTGCTATTATTTTGTAGTGTTTTTTGTTGTTTGAGGTGAAGAATAAACAAAATTGGGTGGGAAAGTTTTGGAAAGGAGGTGGGGGGAGGGGAAAACATGATCAAAATATAGTGTATGAAAGTTGAAAAAATAAAAATGTAATTAAGCGATCTAAAAGAAAAGAAAGCCCTACAAACATGCCTATAGGAGGCATTTTCTCTTCTCAGATATGTCTAGGTTTGTGTCAACTTGACAACAACCAACAGCCAGCACAAATGCATTGATTTCTGATTAGCCAGAACCAAGAGTTGATGAGATTCAAACAAGACATTATCAGAGAAAGGAGTGCATTCTCTGTTGTCTGAGGTGTGACATACTGACAGAGACACAGTTGTAAGAGTAAGCAAGGTGTACTTAGGAAGATTTTTTTTTATTCCAGTTTGTACTTTAATGTGTAAATAATGACTAACAAGAGATTTTGAAGAACAGGATGATGATTCTATTTAATAATTTTACATCCATGAGTAGCTGTGTCACTTGATCATCTGACTCTGGTTTGTCTCCAGTCTGTTGCTTTCCTGCGTGCCACCAAAGACAAAGACTATCATTACCTCCCTTTTTTCTGTATTTTGTTTTTACATAGGCTGGCAGAACTGCATTTTTTTCTTTTAGGCTCAGTTTGAAACATAAAACCCCTGAAGTTATTGGTACTTTGAGGCAGAACTAACAAGCTGCAGTCCTTTTGTGTCTCATTTGTTAGGTTTAAACTGGGGTTCTTGGCAAAGACAATTGAGATTACTCTGACATTATTATGAACCAGTTTTTTTCTTGCAGGCTGTATTATGAAAGTTTTTTAGAATATTCATGCTATTCTAGCAACCAGATTATTTAAAGAAATTCTCTTTTAGATTGTGCTGTGGTAGCACACACCTTTAATCCCAGCTCTTGGGAGGCAGAGGTGGGTGGATCTCCATGTGTTTGAGGCCAGCTGGTCTGTAGAGTGAGTTCCAGGATAGCCAAGGTAGTTACACAGAAAACCCTGGAAAGGAGGGGGGGGGGCTTAGATCAGCTTTTTTTTTTTTTTTTTTTTTCCTCCGAGACAGGGTTTGCTCTGTGGCTTTGGAGGCTGTCCTGGAACTAGCTCTTGTAGAACAGACTGGTCCCGAACTCACAGAGATCTGCCTGCCTCTGCCTCCAGAGTGCTGGGATTAAAGCCGTGCGCCACCACCACCTGACAGATCAGCTTCTTATTAAAGAAGGTCAAATACATGACTTTGAAAGGCTATTACTCTGTCCACCTGCAGAATCCATTCTCTGATCTAGAACACAGGTACCACATTTCAGAAGGCTGGAAATGATGCTTGGACAGAAGGAGGCGGAATGCCATTTTAAAGGCTATATTCTTTTGTTTTTTAAACAAATGTGGAATGTTGATGGAATGTGAAATTAAATACAGAAGTGTACCTAAGTATTTATGTAGTAGAAGTTGGGCACATTGGTGCATTGGGAGGTAGGGAGGAGATCATGGGTTCTCTTTTTGATGATGGCTCACTAGCTAAGAGTGTGTAATGCAGGGGTTCATTACTGTATACTTAATAAATAAATCTTTAAAAAGAAATACAAATAAAAAGTGTGTGTACTGATGCTGTAGAGGACCCACATCAGAGAGCTGGCAACAGCCTGTGACTCCAGCACCAGAGGTCCAGTTTCTCCACACACACCTGCACTTACATGCGCACACACCCACTGCACCACACACACAATTAAAGAATATATCTTAAATTTTTTTTAAAGTTTAAAACCAACTATTTTGTCATGCCCAGTAAACTACCATTCACTGCCTTCCTGCCACCTCCATCTGTTTATAGACTACATTCAGATGGACAGCTTGGTTTTTTACTTGCCTGTGTAGTTTAGGTTTTTGTGAGCTAAGAATCCAACACTTACTTACCATTCTTCCTCTTCTTGCTCATTCTGATCTTGGCTTGATTTCTTCTTGATATGCCTAAACTCCTTTCTCCCACTGTTAAGTAAGGACTTTGTATTTCTGTAGATAATTGTGTGCTTTACTCATATTTCATTGAAATTTTCCTTGCGTAAAAGCCTTCCTACTTGAATACTATCTCTCATTTATTCTTCATCTTGTTCCTTATACCCTTTAACACTATTATAACTATTTTCTTGTTAAAATATAAGCCTCTTGAAGACAAGTGCCTTTTGTTTTCCTTTGTAGTTGGCTAGGGCAGCACCTAGAATATTATAAATACTCTATTAATATTTGTTAAATAAATCAAGGAAATTAGGAACAATATTTGAAATGGATCTTTAACATAGAATAGATTCATCCCTAGATGAAGTTAAAATCATTCTCAAACCCAAATTTATTAATGAGACTTTTGGCTCTTTGGGGACAAGAAAGGAATTTCTGATTTACTGCCATAAGACTAGCCCTTGAAACCTAGGAAGTAAATGGAAAAATTGGCAAGAGTTCTGGTTCATCCCTACATCCCCACCACCACTACCAATCTTTGTTGCTCTCCCTATCTCTTCCCCTCCCCCTTATCTGTTTCTCTCCCTCCCATCCTGGAGTGGATGTGGGGTTATCCTGGCTGCAGACTGGAGTGGATGTGGAAAGAAAGATAATTGAGGGAAAAGGTATTTTGAATGTAGGTCTTATTCTCTCTCTCTCTCTCTCTCTCTCTCTCTCTCTCTCTCTCTCTCTCACCCACACACACACACACACACACACACACACACACCTTCCTTGTGTTCTTGATCATTAGTATGTGCCCTCTGAGTGGTATGGTAGCAATGACTCTGCCATTTTGTGTAATTGTAAGAATAAACCCTAGTGCCACTGCCTGAAATGTTCTGTCAGTTACAAAAGAAACTTGGGACAAATGGCTATCTGTAGTGCCTATTACCATTCCAAAAGGCATGCTGGCCTCCAGGGCCCCTCTGTATCACATGTACCTGTTAAGAGTCCATGCTGGCATCCTGACTCTTCTCACCCCATCCCATACCCTAAATTTCTTCAGCCATGGACTTTTGGTCTCCTTTCCCTGCACTCTTTGTCTTCATCTCTTCCCCCCTCCCCCACACCTCTCTCATGGTCAAGTCCAGTCTGTTGGCCTTGTTCAGTCCACTACTCTCTCTGTTCTATATTATCCAGATGCCTCTCTCTGGCTGTACTCTCCCTTACATATTCCACTTAGCCATACCTTGGAGCAGTCGTGTTATCAGTTTACATATTCTCTGCCTCTAAAATTCCCACTCCAAGAATCCCCTTACCTGGCTGCATTGCTGACCTTAGGAATTGTTTGTTGAAAGTGAAGCCATTGACTGGTTTTGTGGTTCTTGGGGCTCTCTTCTCTAGGGTCCTCCCCAGCCCCCATCAGAGCTAAATTGGAATAGTCATGGGCTTTAGGGTTAGATTTTTTTTCTTTTTATATTTAATCTGGAGACAATAAATTACATTCCTGAAGTTCAGAGACAAAAGACAGAAGTATCTCGGAAGTTCAAGACAATAAAAACATTACAGAGAATACTTAGGCAAATACAGATGAAATAGAAAAGTCCTAATAAGTTTTCTAAAAGATCTGGGAAGGTTAACAATGTGAAATAAAGCTTGTTTGAGAAGAGTCCAGTGGAATATCAGGTGGGAAAAGCATGTTTAAATAAGAAATACACTTTAAATAAATAAATAATACAGCTGATGAAATTGGAATCAATTAGCATCAAAAAGAAATTGGTATGGGGCATGGTGGTACTAACCTTTAATCTCAGCTCTCTAGAGACAGGCAGAGAGGCAGGCTGATCTCTGAGCTCTTGTGGTCTACAGAGTGAATTCCAGGACAGCCAAGGCTACCCATCTCGGGGGAAAAAAAAGAAGCAGAAAAAAAAGAAAGAAGAAATTGGTGAGGTCATAATTTGGGAATCTCCCCATTGGAGGAAAAGACGAATTAGAGATTAAAAAATAAGTAGAAGACTAAAAGAAATACCTTTTTCTCCCTAAGATCAGAAATAGACAGTGACCCTGCTTAAGCCACTTACTGTTCATCTTCTTGCTATTTCAGAAAAAAGCCAAAGGACAAGAACTGTTTGATCAAATTATGTATCACCTGGACTTGATTGAAAGTGACTATTTTGGTCTGAGATTTATGGATTCAGCCCAAGTAGCTGTGAGTATCTTTTGGAAGTTCTCTTATGACAGATGAAATGGCAATTTTCAGATCATGGCCTAAGTACTTGAAGGCTAACAGATACTTAATGCATTCTTTACTTGTGTCATTTCCTGTGGCCTGAAACATGCACTCCTCTTAGTTCCATCTGTGATTGGTTAAGATGTGGTCTTGTTCTTCAGCCTTGGCTGGCTTAGAACTGGCAATCTTATCTTGCCTAAGCCTTACAAGTGCTAGGATTATAGTTGGGTACCACCATACCTGGCTCTCCTTGCATTACAGACACCTGGAATTCTTTTTTTAAAAAAGATCTGGTCTTAACCTGACTTACTAGAGCAACATTTTTGAAGATGAAGTTTGGAAATCTGTATTTTTAACAAATGCTGTCTAGGGTGTTATGAACCACTGTGTAACTGAAAGAATGCTAACACTGGACTTTTAGATGCCCTTAGGTAAATGATGTTAATTTATAAAGTAAGTAGACTAGCATATCTCTAAGGTTCCTTTCAGAACTATGATTCTATGGCCATAAAACTACTCTTTGTGCATTTCAGATGAGAGAACAAGAGTATGTAACAGAGGAGAAAGTTGGAAGCTATTCGTAGAACTGAGTGCTATATTGGGATTTAAGTGAGGTGTTTGGAAAAGGTAGACAGTAGCATTGGGATGGATTAGTGGTTATACTTAAAACTAAATATCAAAATTGTTAGGTGATAATTGTAATACTTACTCTTTAATAATTGGAATTGGATCCTTTGCAAGCAGATTAGTTTTTGTTTCAGAAAATTTTGTTTTGTTTTGTTTGGGTCACATGGCAGATGCCTTTGCCCTCTCACAGCTCTTTATTTCCATTTCTTACCATACTTAAGTGAATGAGGATTAAAAAAAATAATAATGCAATTATTACTTGGTTTTAGTCTTAACTCTTGGCTGATATCTGCAGTTACTGGAATTACTATATACTGTATGCATATTTTGCCTTCTGGTCATACAAACTTTTAGTAAAGCTGGAATTTGAATGTTTTTCTTTTAATATGTGGGTATGTATCTCTTTTTATGTGACTGTGTGTCTGCCACATGTGTTCAGGCCAGAAGAGAACATAGGGGTGTTGAAAACCAAACTCTGGTCCTCTGTTAGAGTAGCAAGCAGATCCAAATGATAAGCCCTATAACTTTCAGTCTTTGTTCATTTTCTGGTTTATTCTTCCTACAAAGAATCCAGCTAGGTTTGGAGATTAAGTTTATATTCTTCATTATAACTTTGTTGCAGTAAATACTATAGTGAGTTGAGCTAGGATAATCATTGGTAAGTAAAAGGTATTATATGTAAACTTTGGATAATACTTTTAAGACTTAAATTTTAACTCGTTTGATTTTATGGCATAGTTATTGTAACCCCTTTCAGTTACTTGCTTAGTGGCCACATTCAGTCCCAGAATTAAAATGATATTTAATAAATAGTATATTTTATATGAATATAACAAACTTGATAGATTATGTGTTTTTAGCTAAAGCATACAATATAAACTGAGTTACCCAATGATTTCCTTATATCTTTGTCATATTTACTGTTTTGTTTCAGCAGAATTGGGGGGCAAGATATTAAAGGATCCAAGTATTAACATACTATTGTTTAATCTTGAACATCTGGCATGTTCTTATATCTAAAATTAATGAACCAAAGTTTAATTTATTGGTCACTACCAAGCAGTCCAGAATGTATATGATACCTTTTGAATTATATAGTCATCATGGAGATAACCGAAATTAAGTAGATTAATTAAATTTTATTTTTCTATCTGTATGTATAGACAGTTTGTTCCTTTTATTTTTTTATTTTGGAGGGCTTTTTTTAGTTTTTTTGTTTGTTTTTTGTTTTTTTGGTCGAGACAGGGTTTCTCTGTAGCTTTGGAGGCTGTCCTGGACCTCACTCATTAGACCAGGCTGGCCTCAAACTCACAGAGATCTGCCTGCCTCTGCCTCCGGAGTGCTGGAATTAAAGACGTGCAGCACCGCCCGGCCCTTATTACTTATTTTTGAGACAAGGTCTCACCTTGTAGCCCTGGCTCTATAGGACCAGGTTTTATAAACCAAGTTGGCCTTGAATTCACAGAGATTTGCCTCCGTCTCCTAAGTGTCAGGATTAAAGGCATATGTTCTCTTTTATTTCTTGTAGTCTTTTAATACTTGCATACATACATAGTAATTTCATAGTTGAAACAATCATATGCACAGAACAGTCATGAGGATGGTACAAAAACCATTTGTAAGTTGGGAGTAAGATGTCCTATCCTTAAAACTCTTTCATGTAATGTGTGCTTTCTGTAAGCAAACATGGTTCATAATTTCATACAACCATCAAACCTAGCAAATCACCACTGAGAAATCATCACCATCTAATCTATAGACTGTTGAAATTATTTTAGTTGAATGAGACTTGTCCCTAGAATATCTTCTGTAGCCACCAAGGTCCAGTTCAGAATCCTGCTTTGCTTATTGTCATGTCTCTGTTGTCGCCTTTAATCTGAGACATTGTGGTTCTGCTGTGTTTTTATTCTCATGGCTGAACCTTTTGAAGAAGCAAGCCAGTTACTTTGTATACTGTTCCATTCTATGAATTTCCTAAAGTAGGTTCATTTTAGAAAGCAAGTAATTCTGTGTTCCATTCTGTTCACAGGCTGTCATGTAACATCATTGTATTCCTAATTGACTTTGTCTCTTGATGACATAGTGTGTTTTCTAAGCCTCATTTCTAAGTCATTCTCTTTCCCTTTTGAGTTTTTTTCATATATCCCAAACTTACTATGTAGCTGAGTTGGCCTTAACTTGTGATCTTCCTGATTGCACCTCTCAAGTACTGAGATTACAGGTGTGTACCACCATGTCCTGGTTTTCTTTTTTTCCCCCCTTGTAAATTGTTTTGTTAACAGTTTCTCTAAGACTGTTCCCTATCAAGCTATAAATAAACTGATTCCTATTTTATTCGGTGTGTTATTATTGTTTATTTTGACGCTCACATTTTCCCAAGTTTGGCCAATGTTAACTGCTTCAAAATGTCTTCATGTTCACTCAACATGAATGTGTCATTCTTTGGACTGTAACTAACTTTCTGCCCAAGAAAATGTTCCAGGCTTATGTGGTATTTCCATCTCAGTCCTGGAATTAACAAGTTCTTCAGTAAGCTTTGTGATAAGATTTGAAAGCATAAGTTTACAGTTCTTTTCTATATAGATATATAGTGGGTGTGATGCAACCTGTATTAAGCCCAATTTGAGTCTGATACTACTAAGATTTTTATAGTGTTTTCACCTTCTCATATTTGTAGTGATAGTTCTCATCTACAGATATGCCTATCAGTATTCGTTCTCTTAAGAGGGGTTTATGTCTGGATAAATCTATTGTAAGTTGAAAGTGCTGTAAGTTCAAAATGTATATATCTACTGAATATCATAGCTGAGCACTGCAGTTAATGGTAGAATCTTTGTTGTTTATCACATGATAAACAATCCTGGGGACTTACTGGAAGCTGTGATTCACTGCCACTGTCTCTCATCACAAAAGATAATGCTACTGCTACCATTAGTCAAGGAAAGAGCAAAAACAGAGTGGTTTCTGCTAAATGTGTGTTCTTTCACACTATTATAAACCCTCAAATTGTGGAGAACTGACGACTATACCTGATCAGTCACTGCATTTCTCCAGTGTGAATGCTGACTGTTAAGCTGCTGAATTATTCCTAGCCTGTTTTATTTGGAAGGAGGTAGGGCTTATGAAACTGTAGGGTTCATTTATCTTGCATACTGCACAACGGTATAAAGAGCTCCTTTGAAGTTTTGTACTCTGGAGATGTGGTTTGACAGGGAGGATTATGGAGCAGAGAGAAGGCATGCTTGAGGAAAATTGTTGATTTTCAGCTAGGATAGACATAGCATTTTTATGTCAAAGTGTGGTCACTCTGGAAAATTGAAATACATTTTTTTGTATTATAAAATTTGCCACTTTAAATTGTGTGATGAAAATTTGTAGAATGCTCAAACTTTCTTACAGCAGATGTACCATTCTGCATCCCACAAACAGTGCATGAGATTACAGTGTTCCATAGTGGCTACACTAGTTCACATTCCCACAGCAATGTAAAAGGGTTTCTTTCTCTCCCCATCCCTGTTCCCAGCATCTTCATCAGCATTTGTTTCTTTTTGTTTCTTGATGATAGCCATTCTGACTGGGGCGAGACAGGTTCTCAGTTGTAGCTTTGATTTGCATTATCCTGATGAGCCTAAAAAGGTTGACTTGTCAATTATTGGCCAGCTATACCTCTTCATTTGAAAAGTACATTTTCAGTTCATTTGCTTATTTGTTGTATATTCTCTTAGGTGTTTAATCTTTTATATTCTAGATATTGATCCTCTTTGAGACAGATAGCTCGCAAGATTCCCTACTATTCTTTATACTGTCTCTTGACTCTGGTGATTGTTTCTTTCACTTTATAGGAACTGTTAGTTTTATGTTGTGTGTGTGTGTGTGTGTCATGGAGCATGCATAAAGTTCAGAGGACAATTTGGGAGTTGGTTCTTTCCTTTATTTATTTATTTATTTATTTATTTATTTATTTATTTATTAGACAGGGTTTCTCTGTGTAGCTTTGGAGCCTGTCTTAGCACTCACTCTTATTGACCAGGCTGGTCTGGAACTCACAGAGATCCGCCTGCCTCTGCCTCCCAAGTGCTGGGATTAAAGGCATGTGCCACCACCCGGGAGTTGGTTCTTAAATTTCACTTTGTTGAGGTGGCATTTCTTTTGTTTCTGCTACTGCATGTCAGACATACTGTAGCCTAGTCGGGTTTTGAGTTTCCAGCCCATTTTCTTCTTCCGCTTCCTATTTCCCCCATAGAAGTGGTGGTTTTATAGATGAAGATCCCAGCATTGGGTTTATTTAATCTGGGCTCCAGGGTACAAACACAGGTCCTCAGGTTTGTATGGCAAAGCACTTTTACCTACTG